GATTGCTCTGGAGTAGCCTGTTAGCTTACCCTGGGGAAAAAGGACCGGTTTAATCTGAGGCTAATATACCTGTTTTTGATCACTCTCCTGTAGCCATTTGGCCTGACCCTGTCATAGTGCCAATGAATGCATATTCTCTTTGTGATCCAATTTCCCTTTACATATATTGCAGGTAGCTAACTAATTCAAATATTTATACTTGATGTCCTGTTGATTCACTGGCCTGTGCGTTACACTTGCATTTCATTTTGTTTTGGTACAGGTGCAGTGATGAAGGATGTTTTATTAAGAATTGATCCAGCTGCCATTTTAGTCAATTAGGAAAAAGATTCAATGAAGGCCACGAAGAGCCATGTGATGGTAATAGATGCTCTTTCTAACTGACCTGCACCAGACTCAGACTGAGAGCCTAAAGAAAGCTGTTTTCCATTCTCAACATCCTGATATGTCAACCTTGTATTTCCAAAGTTCTTCTGTATTCAAAGAGCAAATGTTTAGATCTAATAAAATGAGACTTAATGCAGCATAGCATATAATTAACTTGTGGCAGTCAGTGTTATAGGACATCATTGAGAGTAATGCTATGGCCCCATTTTAAAAACAGATGGAAATTTTTTTCAACCACTAACAAAATTGTTGGTATGTAAATGAAAGTAACGGGACTGGTAACTGAACCTTATCTCAACTTGAGGATATAAAATGATTGCTTGTGAGTGCCAGGGAGGAGAGCAAACATGGTATTTCCCCTCTCTACCATTCCAAATGTACATCTCTGTTCAAGTACGTAGCTGTTGTACAGGATTGTTGGCCTTCCTCAGAAACAGCAAGGGTTGACCTCTGCTAAAAACAGGATTCTGGACTAAATGGAAATTCTTATGCAGCATGAGCATTACCAGCCCAAGTCTAGGGATGTGAATGAGTAGTTGACTAGTCGATTAGCCAATAACCCTAGGCTTATCGGTTAATCTAGTCAATGACTCAATTTCCCCCTGCATTGCTGCCTCTGTATCAAGAAGCAGGAGCTGGTGCTTGGGGAAGCTGACGTGGATTGGGGCTGCTGCTGCAAAGCAGCCTCTGTCCGTGGTGGTGCCAGTGCTGGCTGTGGACAGAGGTTGTTTCAATGCTGCGGCAGCAACAACACCGCCATGGACAGAGGTTGCTTCGTGGTGGCAGCTCCAATCCATGACCAACCCGGACCACTGTGGACAGAGGCTGCTTCGGGCAGACACTCCCACCTCCTCCCTCCCCCAGCAGCCTCTGACCCTCCCCCCCCTGCAAACAGGGACTGCTGCCCCCTAAACTGCTGCCTCTGTGTAAAAGGCAGCAGCATGGGGTGGCAGACATCTGTTCCGTGAGGGGAGCTGGTTTTTAAACTGACTCCCCTCGTGGACCAGCTCCTGCCTGGTACCCTGCACTGCTGCCTCTGAGCAGTGTAAGATGGCAGAATACTCCATGTGAGTGGGGCTGGATTGCACTGGCTGCCAGCCCTGCCCCCGGGAGCTACAGAATAGTCAACTAACTGCTAAGCATTCACGCGGTTAGTTGACTATTCAATTAATTGATAGCTAACATCCCTACCCAAGCCCCCTTTTAATTACACCAGTGTAAATTAAGATTAGCTCTGCTGAAGTGAATGGAGTTACACAAATGTAACTGATACAAGTCAGAAGAGAATAAAATCCCATGGTTCTGGGTCCTCCAGCAAATTTATTTATTGTGATGGGGTGGAAAAGAGGAAACTCTCAGCCTTTTCTTTCTTCCTACAATACCCTTTTGTCTCTTCTCCTTTCCTTAACTCCTTGCTTTTTGTCCTTTCACTCTCTCTTCTACCCCACTGCATAGCTGAAAGATGGTAGACATTCTCTTCACCTTCCCACATATTGTTTTGGGAGGGTTCAGTGGATCTTTGCTGTCCTCTTCTTTCACTGGTTAGTGGGGAAGACAATAAGTGACATCTTTCTCTAAGTGGTTCAGGAAGGATCATATTACATCTGGCAGTAAGCTCTGCCTAAGTCAGGGGTGGGCAATAATTTTTGGTGGGGGAGCACTCCAAGATTTTGGAAAGTGGTCAAGGGCCACACTTTTCTGTAGAGGAGATCTGGGGTCTAGGATGGAGGTTGGGTGCAGAAGAGTGCATGGGGAAAGAGACTGGGGTGCAGGAGACAGTTTGAGGTCTGAGAGGGAGTTTGGGTGAAGGAGGAATGGGGTGCAAGATCTGGGAGGGTGTTTGGGTGCAGGAGAGAATATTGGTCTGGGGGAGGTGTGTAGGAGGGGATACAGGGTCTGGGAGGGAGTTGTAACCTGGAGCAAGCGGGTGCAAAGGCTTTGGATGATTACCTGGGGAGGGAGTTGGGGTGCAGGAGGGGCAAGGGTGCCAGAGGCAGGCTCTGGCTGGGAGGTGTTTACCTAAGTGTCTCCTGGCCAGCAGCCCTGCAGCACCCCAAAGGCAGGCTGGACTCCCTGCCTGCTGCAGCTCCAGACTGTTTGAAACTTCAGGCTGTTCCCTCCATTTGGCTCTCAGCTCTGGGAGGGCGAAGAGGCTTGCATTGTCCCCATCCCCCAGGCCAATCTCTCAGCTACTATAGGCAGTCTGTTTTCAGCCATTAGGAGCTGAGGATTGGGCTGGGGGTAGGGGAGGGGGGAAGATCACACAAAGCCTCCCCCTGCCTGCAAAGCAAAGTGAGCCTCACAGACCGTGCTTTGAATCACAGCAGCTGAGTGCCTGAGGGTCCTGGTAGGGTGGCCCATGGGCCGGATCCAGTGGCTTGGTGGGCCGGATCCAGCCCCCAGGATGTATTTTGCTCAGCCCTGACCTAAGTGTTAGTAGAAATACCATGGTGTTGGTCAACACATTTGGACAGCACCAAGCTAGATCTGTTCCAGCTCTGAAAGATTAAGAACATAAGAACAGCCATATTGGGTCAGACCAAAAGTCCATCTAGCCCAGTATCCTGTCTGCCAACAGTAGACAATACCAGATGCCCCAGAGGGAGGGATCACAACAGGTAATCCTCACGTGATCCGTCCCCTGTCACCCACTTCCAGAGAAACAGATGCTAGGGATGCCATTCCTACCCATCCTGGCTAATAGCCATTGATGGATCTAATCTCCATGAATCTATATAGCTCTTTTTTGAACCCTGTTAAAGTTCTAGCCTTCACCACATCCCCTGGCAAGGAGTTCCACAGGTATTAAGTTCATATGCAGATTTTCATGCACTCCTAACTGGCTACTCCACTTCAACACAGTTCTTATTGTTAACATCACTTATTCCATAGTTGGTCTTCTGATGGAAAACAGAATAAGAAAAGAGGGCCTGGCTCTTCCACACAGAACAATAAGAGAAGCTAAGTACTCCACTGACTGCAGAAAAAGAGTCACAACTCTTTTAATCAACCCCCATTAATCAGGGATCTCCCCTCAGTGCCTAATATGTGAAACCCAAAAGCTAGCATCATTCTTTCGATTTTTACTGAACAGAGGTAAAAACATCTGGTAGGCTACAGGAAGTTGACAAAGCTATTACAGAGACATAGTGAGTGAGGTCATCTCTTTTACTGAACCAACTTCTGTTGATGAGAGGCAGTTTGGACAACAGAAGGCAGTCTAATAAGACAGATTACTCACCTACCTTGTCTCTGTAACATATCCTGGGACTGTCAAGGCTACAACTACACCGCATAAAGCTGTATAGCTCAGCCATCCTCGTGGCCTTAAGAAAGGTAAATTTAAATTGCTTCTAACCTAAATGAAATTCAAAACTTATACACAGTTTGAAATCCAATTTAAAATGGTAACAGAATAAAGTACATTCTCCCACAACTCAGGTAAGAGAAATTTCTGACCACAATGTTTCTAAACCTATCCCTGGAGTCAAATTGAATTTTTCATTGCTTGTCTTGCCATTTCAGTCATGCTCCTTTTCAGCACTTTTAGTTCTTGAGGTACAATAAAAGTTTTTCAAACAGTTAGAAGACAGACTGCTTGTTTTGTGGTGTTTATAAACTGGAAGCCACTCTCATTCCCTTTTACATACCCGTATAGCTAAACTTCCCAGAAGGCATTCAATACTCTTGTGCTGTGCAGTATCTTGTCAATTATCTTTATACTATGCATTTTGACAGTTAAGTCTATGCTCTCATTCCATTACAAATGGAATTTATCTTTATTTCTGGTTAATGGTCTCTGCCAGTGATTGCTTAGTCTGACAAATAAGTAAAATGCTGCAGGTGGAACTGGTCCAAATGAAAATCACATCCAGCCCAAACAAAAAATTTGCTCAGACACCACAAC